AACGTAATTTATTATTTTTCAGGGCTGTTGCAGAGAGACTATGAAGTATCTACATTAACACTTTTTCTATGGTCCCCCATTAATCTATCAATTCAAAGTCTGTTGATTTTCCTTTGTAATCTTTCACACCAAAACTGACGTATTTCCAAAATGTGAGCTGCTCAATGACACTTCTTTTTATCTGTAAACCTCTGTGATTTCTATTTGGAGTACTATTTTGTGTGCCTCAAAAAACTACAAAATCAACTTTGAATAGACTGAGCTCAGTAAATACTGTTATGATGAAACCAGAATGTATCTGGATGAAACACGTATTATTTCTCAGTTGGTGAAAATGAGTTTATCTAATATAGCTTTCTATACAATCTAGTAACTCAATTTCAAAGTAAAAATCACTCACAAAACTGTGTTGTCAGACATGAATTTTCTCTTGAGATCTTCTTTGGTGATTTTTTACTGACAGATCTTTTTAATTGATCAGAAACTCTTTCATAGCTTTCATTTTTTTCAGATCCATTTGGAAATTCTTTAAAGAATGCCGATTTACTTCCGGTTGGAGACAGAGAAAGAGTAGGCTTTAAGCTTTTCTGAGAGCTAACAGAATCTGTTTTGCTCACAGTGGAACTCTGTGGTTTTGATAAGATAGTCTCTTTGAGGTCATGTTTGCTGTGTCCCTAGTTCTTCCAGTATTTATTTCTCCATGACATCCTCTTTAACGGGCTCTCTTTACTGCTGAATCAGATGTTCCTGGCCTGCTGTGGCTGATCTCAAGGTTCTCTGTTCTCTGGATGGATTCACTGTTCTCATCCTAATTTTAGGAAACAAAGCAAGAATGATTCCCTCTCGTCATCACACAGTGCAGTTTTACATAACCTTAACATTTGAAAATGGCTCTTTAATCTCTGCTGCTTAATTCTCAGTCTGCAAGGATTCTAAAAACCAGCTGCTCTTCCTGGCAACTACACTGAGTACAGTACAAACATCTTACATCGAGTAATCAAAAGCAGAAAGAGGAGAGGGAGACAAGATGACACTTTTTAAAGAGTCAGCCCAAGTTTAGAATGCTGGTAACCTCCCAAACCTGAGTGTTACACTACGATCATCATTTCAATAAAATTTATTACAACTGTAAACCTAAAGCAGAAACTCCACAACAGTTACAACCTTTCCACTGAATTATTAATATTCCATATTTTCATCTCATATTTTCAACTTAAATGTAGAAGGAGTAACATGCTGAGATCACATCACTCACCAGTGACAATACTGGAATATCACATTCAGCATCATTTGAGTATCATTAAAGAGTTTTGGGGATCAATTTATTAACCTTATATTCATGCTTAAAACAATGTCTCTGCAAAATATGCCATGAATCAAGAGTATGATGTTCACTCACACCACATCTCAACAATAAACTTCAAGACCAAACATATGGAAAGAAAAATAATGGGGAAACACATCCAGCATGTGCTCAGGATTCTTATTCTCAAAGAAGAAGAGATTCAGAGCAGCCCAGCAGAGAAGGACTTGGGGATGCTGGTCGATGAGAAAATGAACATGAAGCCCAGAAAGCCAACCGTATCGTGGGCTGCATCAAAAGGAGCGTGACCAGCAGGTCGAAGGAGGTGATCCTGCTCCTCTACTCTGCTCTTGTGAGACCTCACCTGGAGCATTGTGTGCAGTTCTGGTGTCCTCAACATAAAAAGGACATGGAACTGTTGGAACAAGTCCAGAGAAGGGCCATGATTATGATCGGGAGACTGGAGCACCTCCCGTATGAAGACAGGCTGAGAAAGTTGGGGCTGTTCAGTCTGGAGAAGAGAAGGCTGCGGAAGGCTGCGTGGAGACCTCATAGCAGCCTTCCAGTATCTGAAGGGGGCCTATAGGGATGCTGGAGAGGGACTCTTCATTAGAGACCGTAGTGATAGGACAAGGGGCAACGGGTTAAAACTTAAACAGGGGAAGTTAGGTTGGATATAAGAAGGAAATTCTTTCCTGTTAGGGTGGTGAGGCACTGGAATGGGTTGCCCAGGGAGGTTGTGAATGCTCCATCCCTGGCAGTGTTCAAGGCCAGGTTGGAAGAGGCCTTGGGTGATACGATGTAGCATAAGGTGTCCCTGCCCATGGCAGGGAGGTTGGAACTAGATGATCTTAAGGTCCTTTCCAACCCTAACGATTCTATGATTCTATGATTCTATGATTCTAAGAAAGGATCAGAGGCCTCATCTCAATTTCATCATGCTGGTCGTCTGTCATATGCCACTGCACTGGATGTAAGGCAGTATATATTACAAGATTCAATAAGATGCTGAAATACCATCTTCATTATGCCTCCCACAGCCAAGCTGCAGTTCTACTGCTCATGAAAGTGATCCAAGTATTTATATCCAAGGTACTGATTTCAGTGAGTCCAAGACTGGAGTCCACTGAATAAAATGCACATTCAAGGAAATAATCCCTCAACGTCATAAATGATAAATGTTTTGGAAGTTTTAGTCCCTCACTTAGTAATTGCCTTAAAACAGCAATCTATATTTCCCTCTTTTCCATGGATTTTTATTTGCCATAAGTTATCTTAAAATCTGTGCTGGAAACCCATATTAAGTTAATTGAAGACTGAATATTACCAAAGAAAACACAGTATTTTTTTCTCCACACACATTAGAGATAAATGGACAACTCTGATTTATCTAAAGCTTAAATCCTTCAAACCTTTCCATGTCTCTTCCACCATTCATATTTATTTAGGCTCTAGAATAACTTGTTACATACTAAATTGTGAAATGGTGCTAGAAACATCAATAAAGTTTGCTTGATTAACTGTAGCACAGCATACGTAAACTGAAGATGAGACTCATTTTCCTGAGGAACAAGCACTTCCATTGATGTGATGTATTCCTTGAAAGATGCAGATGGCAGTTCTGGATACATAAAACTGACTGCTTTTGCTGTGTTGTAATTTTAAGATCATTCTGATGACTCTAGAGGGCCACCTACTAGGAGCAGATGGGATACAGCCCTTGTGTACACCGAGCTTTAAGCCTGAGGTATCAGAGTGAAGTCATCTATCAGCCTTTGTAAGGGCACATTATCTTACTTCTTCATTCTTTGAACTGTAGAAGGACAGAAAAATTCTCAGTTTCTTCATTGAAGGCTTCTCTGATGAACTTGGCAGTTACACGTAGAACACATTTTTGATAGCACTATGTGACATGTGGTCACACCTGCCACAGTCACAGCCCTTGCTATTAGCAAGAGTTCTCGGGTTTGCTCTGGGTTGGGCAGAAACCATAAATGCTGCCATGGCAAGTTTACATGTACATAGTCCCTGACAGAAATTCGAGATGAAAGCACATGCACGCCTAGAATTACAAGGTAAGTCACTTGATGATGAATGGTTCCAGGAGAAGAAGCAATTTTTATCTTAATTTGACTTGATTATTTGACTCTGATAACTGAATAATAGCATTGGACTATTCCAGTTACTTATTAGTAACCAGTAAGGGTAATTTATAAATGCTGTTTTCAGTTTGCAGCCTGAAACATTCCCTCCCCAAAAGGCTGAAGTTACACAAACCATATAGTTCTAGCACAGACATTCTGTGTACCTTACGGCTCACAGTATATGCAACAAAGAGAATCAACGCTTACTTATTTGAAATTCATCCTGAAATTCAACTTGTCTCTTGTATTTTGCAGTTAAGTAAATATTTTTGTAGATAATACTGACTTTTCTACAGATTTAATAAAAAAGTCCTTTGAAATCCGAACAGTTCTGCACTTTTAGAATGGTATCCCATATAGTACTGCTCATGAACTATCAGCTTAACTAAAACTGATTTAATTCTGAAATTCTAGAACTTTGCTTGAGATAAAGTCTTACGGGTTTAAGTTAATAAATACTACACTGCCCTAGATAATAGTAAACGTCCCACAACTACAGAAGAAGAGAAAATTTGTGTTTCTAATAATTAACATCAGCATTTTGGGTTCTCAGAGATGCAGAACATAAAGCAGTTCAGTCCATCTTGCTGTTATGAAACTCGGCTGCATTTTATTTCTCAGCTATATGCAACAGAGCAGAATGCTAAGGAACAGATTCTGTAATTCAAAATGAAGTAGAATGTTCATAAAGGTAGAAACTGTTTTAGCAATTACCATAATGACACAATAAAACTACTGAGTGCATTGACAGCTTGGAGAATTTCTATATAGGATCAGATGATATTGATGTATAAATATATATCAATGTATATAAACATATAATACATTTGCTAAAGAAGTATTTCTTTTCTTTCATTAAATTTATTGCTGAATGATTGCCACACTGCAAAAGAACTGAAGTTGGTGATGCTGACACAGCTCAGACAGGACATAAAGCAGAAATACTAACCATCAACTGATATTAAAAAGCTGAAATTTCTTAACTCACTTTTGACAATAGTGGTGGGCAAAAGAGTCACAGCTTGCAGTTTTAAAAGGCACATGAAAGCCTTATTTTCCCCACTCTTGCTCAACCCTAACAGACTTACATCTTGCTCAAATCTGTGATGCAGGTTTTCCTAAAATCTTTTTTGTTGTAAACATGCACAATACTCACATCTCTGTTGGCACAAGGGCTGACAGGTTTAGGTTTCTTTTGTCTACATGTTACAGAGGGAACAAGTTGCCCCAAGAAGTTGTGGCTGCCCCATCCATTGCAGTGTTCAAGGTCAGGTTGGAGGGGGCTTTGAGCAACCTGATCTAGTGGAAGGTAACCCTGCTTGTGGTGAGGCGCTGGAGGTAGATGAGCTTTATGGTCCCTCCCAACCCAAACCATTTTATGATTTTCACAGCTGTATCCAGTTAGGCAAAGCACCCTGACAAAGACAAATCTACCTGGAGATATACAGGGAAAAGATGATTTATCCCCTGTATTGCCTGAAGACAGAATCTCATCTTAGGAGTTTTACAATGAAGACTACTTTATCAATAGTTACATGTACAAAGTAGCCTACCTCTTCACTGCTGTCAGTTCCTTGAACATTATTTTCAATCTGGGTTTTCCCATGTACTCCGTTACTATCTTGCTTCAAATCCAAATGGAAAATGCCACATCCTGGTGATGTATCTGGAGAATTCCCATGAGGAGCTGATCGAGGTCTTGATGAAAATGTGAAAGTCTCTTTATTATTCACTTGGTGATCACCTGTTTCATTGCTGTGATGTTCAACTGAGGCATTCTTTGGCAAGGTTACATTACAGCAGGCTGAATCTTCATCAGCTACAAACTGCTCGCTCCTATCCAATTGAACACTCTCAGTGAGACTTTCTGGAGATACCCATTCATCTGAAATGTAAAATGCTTATTTTAATGCCAAATATGTAAGTTGCACGTTACCCTGATTACTCACTTTCTCTGGAGGTTGTACAGCAAAAGAAGTTTTTCTAATACAGAAACATTCTGCTTATCAGATTTATACAGCTGGAAGTGTGAGGAGGATGCAATGAAAAAGATCAGGCTGCTTTCCAGGTGAGGCAAGGTTAAATCAGAACATTTCCAGATCACAGTTCAAAAAATCCACAGGCTCTGATAGATGACGTGCAAACATACTATTTGCAAATCTGAAACTATTTAACTGTTTTGAAACTGTTAAACTGAATTTCATTCTAGGGAAACATCATTTTATTAAATTTGGCTATTGATCTTTTTCTTCAGACTTTTTTGTGGTTGACATTTAAAAAAGAAATCATGCATAGTTGGTGGAAAGTTGATATTACAATCTGATGCTTCTTTATTACTGAAATTCTACACTTTATGTCCAGAACCTATGGTTTAAATCTTAATTTCAAACTATAGCTCTGATGAAAAATAGTATGATATGAAAAGTGAGTCAAGATCTCTGTTTCACCAAGTTCCCATGAATACAGGCAGAAATCATATGCCAATTTTAAACCAACAATAACCTACAGAAATGGATTTAAAGATTGAGTGCCCCAAATAAACATGAAAAGGCCATTTTTATACTCTTATTGTTAACTTACATTTTACTGTTTGGAATGATTGTATAGAAAAAAATGCCAATTTGATTGATTAAAACCAATTTCAAACAGCATCTGAGAAAAGGAGAATTGCTCAAGTATGCAATACTCCCTTATCTTCATTCAAAGTAGCGTGGTGTGGATTATTCACTAGATCTTGAAACTTTCTGGCTCCACAGAACAAAGTTACCATTGTTAAAAAAAAAAAAAAAAGCCTCAATAAAAAAAAACTAAAACCATAATAATAAAGTAGCACTCTACTAATAAAATCCTTGCTGCCACAGAAGAGAGTAAGTTTTTTATGAAATTCTATTCTTTTTAGTTTTGCTAGAGAGAATTATCACTTCAGGCAGATTGAGCTGCTTTGGGGAGGGGGGGAAGTCTCAGCCACCATAAATGAAGGCAAAAGAAAGATGAGGGAGATGCTAAGAGAAACAGTTGTTTTCTCACTGAGTTGCTGTGATTTTCCCAGTTTACTAAAGATAGCTAGTAAAGCTGCCAAACTCCAATATTCTAAACAGCAGTTTTGTCGTGGTTTAAACCCAGCCAGACAGCTTGTTCACTCACTCCCAGTGAGTGGTGCCAAGCTGACAACAATCGAGGACCCTCCCCCCCCCCCCACCGGGGCTCTCCCCTTCCCCGCTCCCGGAGGAACGGGGAGGAGGATCGAAAGAGTGCAATTCCTATGGGTTGAGGCAAGAACAGTCCAGCAAACAATGTACAACACAAATCACCACCGCTACCACCAATGACAACAATGATAAGGGAAAATAACAAGGGAAGAGAATACGACACCACCGGCCAAGAAACGAGTCCCACCCGGAAGCCTGTGTCCTTCCAGGTAACTCCCAGCTCCCCCCACCCCAGGCATGACGTGCTGTGGTATGGAATACCTCTTTGGCTAGCCTGGGTCAGGCGCCCCGTCTCTGCTTCCTCATGGCTTCCCTCCTCCCCGGCAGAGCGTGAGCCTCACAACGTCCTTGGTCAGGGTAAACATCACTTAGCAACAACCGAAAACATCGGTATCACCAGCACTGTTCCCAGGCTGGAAGTCAAAACACAGCACTGCACCAGCTACCACGAAGGAGAAACATGACTGCTACTGCTGAACCCAGGACAAGTTTGTACTAGGAATCAGTAAAAAGTGGGGACTTGACATATGGATGGCTTACACCTACATGTTCCAGAAGAGACTTCAGTGTGTAGATGAAGACCATCTATAGGCATAAGCCCCAAGCCTTTTCAAGTAAATTCTTTTTATTTTAGATAATCATGCTGCTTAAAAACAATCTAGTAGATCGTTGTCTACTGTACAGAAAAAAAGTCTATTTCACAAGTATATGGAAATGGCACCTTTTAATTAATAAAGACATGAAAGGCACATATGTAAGTTATGTAATTTATTTTAGAAATGTGTTGGTCTAGACTTTTCCAGAGCCTCAGAGACATTAGTGCTTTTAAGACATTCAAAACTTTTAAGAACCAACTTTCATTTGTATAAGCCAAATGACCTTCTCTTCTGATCAACAGCTACAAGTTTTTCAAAGGAGGATAGTAGAGCAGAATTGTCCTGTCTTTGATCACTCAAGATGCTTAGTCAGCAAACTGGAATTATGTTTTGGATGCTAAATCTACAGTGGTTTAAACTCTTTTTATTTTTTTCCCCAAGACAACTATATAAAAATTTTCACCTTGCTGCATTCTTCAAAACAAAAAATATCTTCAAAATTTACTTTGCTAAAATATTTTTCCTATCTTAGCACTCTGTGATCTTCTGAACAATCTGGCACCCACCCTTTCAGCTTAATCTAGACACATTTTACCAGGTTTCAATGGCAGTGGCTTGAACAAGACCAAGATGTGTAACATATACTCCTTTAGTATTCAGAAGGCCTTTTCGCCCATCATGAAATTAGGTTTGACATGTATCATGCTGTATTTGCAGTTTTCAAATACGCACTAATAGTTCAGACCACTGCAAAGAGCCCTGTATGGTTATACACAAGCACTTCATGAGAACCTGCTAATTTTTATGCACAAAGGACAGTGAATGAGTAGGGAGAAATGGCTTCATATTTATTATGGCCTACTGACCTAATAACAACCAGCTTCCCCAACTGCTTCACCTTTCTATTCTCATTTTAGAATGCCTTCTAATGCAGTTGTTGCTGTTTAATTTGCAGAGGTCATTAGAGATAAAATTTTGTAATGAATTCTGAAGCAAAAGAAAAGGTGTCAAACCACTTGGGGTTTGGGATTTTAAGTCAATTTTGAACGAAGTATCAAAATATGAAAGAAAAAATCTTAAGTAACTGTTTTTGTCAAGTGTTCAGAGAACAGGAAGCAGTTAAGACGCCTAAACTCCTGCCTCCTTCTACTGGTTCTGCCCCAGACATCCAAAAACTTTGTACACATCTCTTCTCATTGTGATTAAAAATAATGTCTTTACTCAGATGTAAAGCACTCCAGAAATATAAAGAAGTACTTTAAAAGTTTTAGTGTCTGCATAACATTTAGCTTGAGTATTCAGGTTGTTCAGTCTAACATCTGTAAAGAGCACTTGCTTCCAGAGATGTTTCCAAGAAACATGCTTGTGTTAGTGGAAAGTTAAATGCAAGTATTATGCAGGGGAAGACAGAAAAGTCTGTAAGGCTTTAAGATGGCATTTTATGCTATGAAGATCAGCAATTTCTACAGCCTCTAGTCAGTGTAGTATTCTGTTAATAGCCTCCAAATGAAAGATGTGAGGAGTTCTGGAACAAAACAAATCCTATTTTCTCTCTACCACAAACTATACTGGATTTTCTTTTTAACTCAGTGTTTCCATATTAATTGTAATGAACAATTTGAAGTATCTTCTTAGCAAAATACGCAAACTACTACATAATCACAATACTGCAGCAAACAAGACAAATGCAAGAATGATCACCTAAGCATTTAATTAGTTCTTCTACACAGATTTATGCTAAAGCTTCTAATTACAGCCAAACATTCTAATGAGGGCTTCAGTATTGCCTAAATAAGACTGACAAACTATAAACAACACTCATTTTATCCCTTGCTTTAAAACAATTTACCTTGGTAAAGGTACTGCACACCTGCTACAGAAGACATGCGGAACTGGGGTCTATAATAAATCTAAAAGATACTATCATGAATAGCAGGGACTAACCTCTAAGGTAATCAGAACCTTAATCAGAGGTTAGCAGTGACTAACCTCTAAGGTAATCACTTATGAAAGCTCCACTATCCCCATGATATTTGTATCAATATTTACTCACAGTTCTTGTTGACAGAACTTGTTTTGACCCCAGTAGAGGTGGGGAGCCAGAGACCACATAGGCTTGATTTTGCTTGGGGAATGTGGTTTTATGCCACTGACTTGTCATAGGTGTATGTGCATTAGCACTTTATCAGAAGTCGGACTTGATGATCTTAAAGGTCTTTTCCAACCAAGTCAGTTCTATGATTCTAAGTGGCAGAGTTATGCTTTTGGCTAAGTCATCACCACTGAACAAAGTTTGTGACTTGTTGACTATGAGGCAAGATCAGTTGTTGGGAGTTTCCTGACTAGAACATCAATCCTGGGGTTTATGGGGTTACAACAGCTTTCATTCTCATAAACGCATGCAGTAAAATAGCAAAAAACCCCTAACAGCAAGTATGGATTACTGTCATTGTCCCTGTACACAATGCCTTCTAAACATCCCAATGATTAAACAAAATGGAAATAACCCACAATATGAATGAAAATTTCTTTGGTTAATGATGGCTACACCTTTCAATAGAAAGTAACACTACTTTTTCATAGAATTAAGGATTATTTTTGCCACATTATGTACTTTCCAGGCATATACAAAGCAAGTTGACACTGCATGACAAAAAAAAAACCACACCTTTTGGCAGATAGGTGTGAAAGGGAAATACACCATAAACTGATGTGGCCTTCTGTGGGGAAAAAAAAAGTAATTTCACCACTGAACTTTAAAAACAAAACCAAATCCCCCTGATACTACATAGACACCATAATTAATATCCTAAACTCTTATCTGGGACAAGTAAAAGTTCTCACACGTGTGATGTTTGAGTCTTTAGTGTTAAATTTAATAGGGATTTAAAGAATAAATTATTTTTAGTTCTTTCGCTTTAATCAAGAGAGCATGAAATTTTTCTTTTTTTATTCATCCACTGTCCTGGCACTCTGCTTAATCCTGCAAATCTTTATCAATGCTTAAAATCAATTCTCTTGCAAGGTGTTTGATTCCCACAATCCTCCACAACACATACATTTATATTTTCTATTAACTGCTTCTGGGTGCTCTGAAATTTATAAGAGTCAGTCCTCCACACCACACACAACTTTAATATAAAATAACATAATATGAGCACCATACCACTGGTTATCTTCCACGTGGTTTTGGATGCATCTTTTAAAGATAAACTCCTATGACTGTTCTTGTCTGCTGATGGTCCCTGTGATGAGTCGAGCTGAAAATCTACTCTTCCACTCTCAGAGGTATCCCGAGTCTGAATTGCAGGGTCTGAAATACAACCCAAATACCTGTGAACATGCGTATTGTGTACTTTCCTTACTTCTTACTTGAGGCATGAAGAAACAGCATACGCAGATTTATCTTGGGATACAAACATCTTCCAAATGCGAATCTTGTAGGGCAGCAGGAATATGACAGTCACAAGGAAGTAAAAATTTAACACTAGGCATAGAAGAAAGGCAAACCACAGCAGTTACAAGAAAAGGCTTGCAGAAGTCTGCAAAATGATCAAGAGTTTCACTTGCCCTCCACTGGATGTTACAGTATCTCTTATTCTGGAGGTCCACAACCAAACACAATGCTCTGGACATAATCCCACAGCTCTTAAAAAAACCTTTAGTGTGACTCTGCTTGTCAGCAGTTCTGTTGTAATTTAAGCCTCCTTACCTCTCCAGATACCCTTGTACTAACTCCTCTGTTTGAAGATGGAGGTGGCCCAAGGATCTTTGATCCAAATGCAATATATGATACATCCTGGGTTTTACCTGTGCGTATATTGTGATGTCCTCAATTAATTGAGCTACCTAAGAAAAATAATAGTTCTACAAGAATTGCACTACTTAGAGAGAATGAATATTCATTTCTTCAAATCAACTGAGAGAAATAATTATGAATACAAAATATCTATAAAAGTTACGCTCCCTTATAGCACAATCCCTAGAAATATGCAGGAATAGCAAATGCACATTTTATAGACATGTTTCAACATACAAGCTTTCTCTAAAATGGGGTTATTTATAACAAAATTATCTGCATTATTTCTTTAGAACTAATTAAACCATCATTTCTGACAGGAAGAAAAGCCAACTCTGATTAATACATAACAGAATAAATAAATAACAGGAAAACTTAAAAACAGGAAAACTTAAGCAAGACTGTCAAGATATCACTCACAGCTCAGATGAGAACTATTTACATGTTGCTTGCTTTATGAAATGACTGAATCTACTCTGTTATCAGGGCTGATCTCTAATATTGCAAACATACTCTATTCCTGTTAAAACCTTCTACACTTTTCACTTTTCCTTTACTGTTTAACACACAGGTGCATTTTGATAATTAGTTTCAAGCACAGAAAACTCCAACCACTCAGGACAACAAACATGAAGTAAACATGGAACACAAGTGAATGCTCCAAAAGAAGGAAGAACACGGAAAGGATTACACATTCCTTTTATCACGTGATGTGGAACTTCATCTAATATCTAGTTTCCTATTTTTTAATACTACCAAGATTGTCAGTGAATTCTCCTTTCCAGAGCTGATAAAAAGGGTAACCTCACATTAATTTATAATGTCTGAAGATTTTTTTCTTGCTATAACTTCAGTGTTAAATTGCTATCTCACTTTAGAGATCTGACACCTCCACAAAGCAATGAGTAGAAACAAAACTTTTTGTTGATTCTCCTAAGAATTTCTCATACACTTATTTAATCTTCTTTCAAGATCAGCTTTATTTTCAGTGTCATAAGAAAGGTATCATACATTAGCCACCAAATAACATAATTTACTGTACTAATAAGCACAAAAGAAGCCACTTTCTCCCATTACCTTCTCCCCTTTTTCCTGATGTGACATTTGGTTGCAGCTAACAGCTGCTGTTTCACTAGGACTGGCTTAACATCAATTCATTTAATTTGCTGACTACCTTGGAATGTTGTTACCTCCACTTATAAAAGCTGATTTGCATGAAAATCTCTCTTTATGAACACATTAACTGACTGCAATTAATTATCTACATCTAGCCATAACAGAGTGTTGATGGCATAATGAAATAATATGTCATTAAAAGTTGATGATACTAAAAATAATTCAGGCTTTTGATTATCAAAGAAACAAAGTTTAGTAGATAAAAAGAACATTTCCCAATTAAAATTTACTTAAATATAACAAAGCTTCCATTTTCAAAAAGGCCAACTTCAGCAATTTGAAAAACATGTCTGGAAGAACATGCTATGTTCTTAAAATTGGATTAGAAATAAAGATTAAACTGAAGGCATTTCCTCTCATACAGGCCAAAGATGTTATTGTTGATTATTTTACTACATATACCTAAAAGCTATAGATCTTTCTAGTCTGGACAATAAAACCTGAGCTGTTTTTTAAATGGACATTCATTATTCTGTTTAGATCTATCATTCACACTATTTTACCCATTTAAGATGTACAGTCCCTTCTATTTTGACAATTCAGACAAGAAGCATTGATTTTTGAACAGAGACACTGAGAAACTGAATTCCAGAGTTTCTTCTGCTATTTCAAAAGCAAATTTAGAATCAAAATTCACAAAGGAACTTTGGCTTTACTGCTTGCAGGACAATAATATTCTAAAAATATTATTTCCCCATTAGTATTACAAAAATGGGACATGTTAAAAAAAGCTGAATGTAATTTATATAAGTAAACGTATAAGGGTCTTACTTTAGGCAAAAATTTAAATCCCCTGCTATTAATTTCAGCTGCTGTAATGCCTTTACTAATGAAGTACATAAAGACAGACATATGAAGTACCTAAAGTTAACAACTTAAACCAGCATCAGCACAGTAGCTTAGTGGGGATGATAAAATCTTTATGATGCTGCTGTTTTTTTCCATATTGCGGTAAAAGCAGAAGAAAAGGAGTTTAAAACATTTTCTTAAACTTTTCATATTATCCAGGTTGTTCTCAAAAAATACTTTTTCAAAGTTTATTTTTTCTTTAGAGTTTCATGAGATGCTACACCTTAAATACTATTGTTGTCTGTGACAGTCTTGTCTTTTATGGTATTAAACTTCACCAGTAGTTACTGTTCCCTGTAATTTATGTTATTCCTTTGGTCTTTTATGGTATTAAACTTCACCAGTAGTTACTGTTCCCTGTAATTTATGTTATTCCTTTGGTCAATACTTTGCACATGTATTTCCAGAGCATTTTAACAGAAATGGTGGAAATTATTATTTACTGAATTCAAACACTGAAGATGAGAATCCTCAAGACCAAGAAAATACTGAGCACAGTGGAATACAAATGTGTCTTCCTCACGTGCAGCACCACTTCTAACATTGCCTACACCAACTAAGATGTATTGGAAGTGGATTCCGAAATGAATTTGCTTGTTCAGAACCACTTCTAAGCTACTTCAGACTTACCTCCTTCTCTAAAGATGTTCTAGTGCCTTGTATGATCAATCTGTGACTCATAAAAGATGGTACATTAAAAACTTTAGTAAGACATTGCAATTATTCTATGGGCCAAATTAAAGGCTTAGCCTTGTGTTTTGTACAGAAGCCAATAGTAACGTAACAAAAGTACAGAAGAAAGAGGGTGCCTATAAAGAGAGAGTTCACCTGTGTATTTTTCTAAGCTCTAGCAGTGAGTTGTTTATGCACTTCTCAAGTTTAAGCTGAAAATATCAATTCAGTATTTTGAAAGGGGCAAAATTATTAGTTCTCCATAAAGCACATCAATGGCGCATACAAAATATTCTCATTTTAAAATCCATTATAACTCACTTTTTTAAGAAGTCCTTGCACATATTTAGGATATTTACTGTTGCAAATGGATCTACAGAATAACTTATCTACAAAAAAAGTAATATCCTGGGAGTGAGGAAATGGTATTTTTGATATATTTATAATTCTAATCAATGAAATGATGAAAAAGATGGGATTTTTTTCAACAGTATTTTTTTCAAAATGGGATTTTTTGAACTTATTAGAAGCGTTCAGGCTGCCCACAGATCTCAAACTATAGGACAGATGTGTCTGCTCATGTTAGTACACCTATGCTAGAGTTGCCATAGTTTGTAAGGCACTGGAACTCTTACAGTTTCACAGAAAACCCCACACTATTTGTACACATACAGTATAGATCATAGTCACAGTATTTTAATGTGGGGAGTGAAGGCAATAAGATTTGCATGAAAAAGTTTGGGAATGAGCTCTGAGGCCTTGGTGCTTGACAAGCCCTGCAGTGATGAGTTGGGGCACTGAAGGCCAGGGAAGGTCAAAAAAAGCTGGAGTCTCAGCTGACCATGTGGGGGTTGGGAGAGCATTGTGATTGGACTATTTACCTGGAGAGGGGCCAATAAGATTGAACACTGTATGTATGTGCAAGTTGGGAAAGTAACAAACAGGAGGATAAAAAGGGCTTGGTTGCAATAAAGGGGAATTCGAATCTCCTCATCAACTTGAGTCTGTCTCGTGAAACACCATATTTTAGTACAACAGAATACCTGTTTCTTGCAGTCTTACTGGATGTGTCCTGCATTTTATTTCGACTTGTGAATTTTAGTGAGGGTCAGCAATTGTATAACTTGCGGCACATCTTTATTTAGCCGGCAGGTTGGAGGAACAACATCTGTGGGCTCACATGGCGTAACTGGAGCACCACACATAGCTAGAATCAAACACATGAACTTCACTCAGATGACACAAGAGAATTAAATTCGACTTAAGTTATTTGTTAGGTTCCACATGTTTCAGTTCATACGGTTATAACTATTTAATAGATTACACCAATTTGAAAATTTTGTTGCAGTTTTCACTTTTAAGACAGATGTGTATCAGTAACAAAAGATAATGGTCCATGGTGAAACCCAAGGGGTTGGACCACTCTGTGGCTAGCCTGCCAATTACTTAAAGCAGAGGGCATGAAACTAGCCATCTTAGTGGGATCGCCCAAGCTTTATATGCAACAGCCCTTAATTCCCAGAACATGGAACACACTTTTAGAGCTATGTCCACCAGCATGGAAGGGATATCTTATACCCATCCTACTATCAGAACAAGGAAACCCCACTGAACAGGTGTTTGAAAAGTTAAGCAAATTAGGGGATCTACTAGGGCTGGGCTTGGACAAAGCGGTTCACAATAAGGGAAAAGTAGGAAAGGAGGAGATAGAAAAAACCACTAGCCATCCTGTGTCCTGCTATGCAGATAATTAAAGAAGAACTGCTGATAGTGCACCTGAGTCTTGAGCAGGCCAGAGAGTGTTTGTGTGCATGGGTGCAAGGTTGGGCTGGGAAACAGCCTGAGGAGTGATTGTATATAGAACGGAATTTATAGTGACTGAAGACAGTCACTGTGATTTATGTGGTTTCTGTTTGGCTTCATAGCTCAGATCTAAACCCTCTGGTGTTCCAGCAGGCCGCCGTGTGGCTGTTCAGGCCTGGAGGCGAGCGCTTGGATCAGGGGGGAGACTACTTTCATGGGTGTTAGCTGGGTGGTCTCAGGAACCTTATGTTTCTTTTAAAGACCTACTGGACAATGTTATAAAAAGGCAGATTGATGGCCACAGGGCTGCTCATACACTTTTATTTTGGCTAGTATATGAGGGTGCTGGTGAGGACTGTGGGGCTGTGCTAGCCCCAGCCAGAGGAAAATTTACAGACACTGCTGAGTTTGTTGGGACGTGTCAGGATGTCAGAGCAGAGGTTCGTAGGGCTTCTGTATTGGCTGCTGCATTAATTATTCTGTTTTATTGGTCATATTAGGTCACATTCCAACCTGCCTAGCCCTTTAAGTGTGGGTAATGACATAGCTGACTCCCTGACTGTTAACACTGCAGAGTTTACTTCTGCAGCTGCTTCACATTCCTTTTTTTTCCATCAGAATGCTTCTGCTTTAAGGAGACAGTTTAACCTGTTTTCTTCTCAAGCAAAGCAGATTTTGTCAGGTCTTGCCCTGACTGTCAGTCAACAGCTCAATTCTCATTTGCCATGGGTGTAAATCCTCATGGCTTAAAGACGACTGTGGTATTGTGATCCTTTGGGCCCACAGAAATGGAAAGGGCCAGTGGAACTGATAACTTGGGGGAGAGGTATGTTTGTGTCCTCCTACCTACAGGTCCGTGGTGGCCGCCTGCAAAGTCTGTCAAGCCATACCATGAGCTGGACAGACAAGTTGAAGAACCCAATGCCTCAGCTGCAGGAGCTGACCTTGAAGACCCTGAGCAGAATGAGACAGAGGAAGAGAAAAAGGGATGATTTGCAAAACATCACTTGGGCGCAACTGAAAAGTAATGACTTGAATATGTGTGCTTGCAACGTAGCTATGATTAGAGGCTTTGATTTTGTGTATAAATCACCTGTATTTACTAGCCAGTTGCTAATAAGAAACTACTCCTTGTACCATATGGATTTGTCACTTGTAAAAGAGATGTCAGAGTATGCAAATTTACTGCAGCTGCTAGAAAATGCTAAGGCAGAAGCCAGAAGGATTGTAATACGATGGTACTGTTTAGAGGGTGGGAGAACCCCACTGGTGGGAAATTGTCTGGTCCCCCACTGCCACCAGCATCTTCATCACACTGGTGCACCCTGTGGTAGTTATGCTGCTAACGTAAATCTGTGTATGTTTTGCCATAGTAGCGACCTGTTACTGGATGAGGCAGGTGGAACCCTTCATTGACAAGGTGCAAGGACTGAGGTTGGCCAAATACCTCCTACCATAATCAAGGACAAGACTGGGTTGCCTCTGCATTTGCCACCAAGAATAACCTTTAGCTCCACTGCTGGCTACAACCCAGCACGTGTTGAGCAGTGGGGATACATGCCACGCCAGAACTTGATGTGAGGGATGGCCTCCTCTGTTATAAGAGGGCCATCCAGGAGGGATGGGCAGGCCAACTAGCCAGTGGTTGGCACAAGAGATGATCTAGTCTAAATCCCCTGCTCAAGCAGGGTCATCTAAAGCAGGTTTCATCGTTAGCATAATTAACTATTATAAGTAATAATAATATAATAAATAACTATCATATTTGAATCTTCTATTCTCAAAAGCTAATGTCAAGAAGCTGCTCTTGCGTGATTTAAGATTCCTTAAGCAGAAAAAGGGATAAAGAAAGCCAAGGACTGTGTCTTTGGAAGTAACAACATCTATCTCCAGGTTCCCAAGACTCCCAGTGTATCTGGCCAATGCATTGGTGAAATCTTGTTTTGGAGCCTGGACATCACTGTTTTGCTTTGCTTTTCCTCCATATCATATGGAGATTTGTTACCAATTTGCGAAGAACCAAAGCCAAAGTGCTCACTGCCTTGATTGTGCAAAATAAAATACAGCAGCAACTGATCTTTGATTTTAGTATGTAAGCATGGGTGTGAAGACTTTGATGGGTTATTTTGCAAGAATTTAAGTGACTACTCCAGTTCAATACATGCACAAATACAAAAGTTAAAGACCCTCACTAGCCAGCTAGCAGAAAACACCAGGTGGAACCCCTTCCAGGGATGGACACGGGGATGGGACTGGCTGTGAAAAGCTGTTATATTATTAGTGGTAATAGGTATTGGGGTTTTATGTATTTTACGTTGTGCTCCTTGTCTTTTAGGGCTAACCCATGCCCTTATAGACAGTATATTATATAAAACTGTAGTATGGATGGAAAAATATTGGTGTGTTCCAACCACGGACCACAGGGTGGCATGTGTCAGTGACAACAGATAATGGTCCGTGATGAAACACACAAAAATAGAAAAGTACTGATTGGCATGGGTTGTGGGAACATGACCTTGAAAACAGGCGAGTTAACACTGCTGCTAGTAAAAGGGAGTCTTATACCAGTAAACATCTGTTCGCATCCTGGCCACATGTGCGCTGAGGTTGCAACTGGTAATTTTCCACTACAGCCTGAGGTGGGATATAAGGACCGGTGCAGGGATGGACAGGTGAAAAGACCAGATGCGCATCTTGATTTGGGGGACGCCCTGATGACTCGCTGCCTACCACCACTCTGACCAGGCAACATGTTCCACCTCCTTCTCCTGCTCAGCAACCAGGGGTTGGTATGTATGTAACCTGCTTTGCATTTATATATATATACATATATATATATATATATATATATTTGCTTTGCACTAATAACTCAATAAATAGACCGGAGCATTTGATTGTCTACACTGTGTTTGGTGTCCAGTCTTCGTACATGGGAATCCTACAAACCTGGAACAGTATGTAAGTTTCTAAATGACAGTGTGGGTTTAGTCTAGAAAAGAGAAGGCCCAGGGGAGACCTTCTCACCCTGTACAACTACCTGAAAGGAGGTTGCAGCGAAGTGGGGGTTGGTCTCTTCTCCCAAGTAAGAAGTGTCAGAACAAGAGGAAATGGCTTCAAGTTGTTCCAAGGGAGGTTTAGACAGCATATCAGGAAAAAACTGGTCACTGAAAGGTTTGTCAAGCATTGAAACAGGCTGCCCAGGGAAGCGGTGGTTTCACTACCCCTGCAGGTATTTAAAAGACATGTATCTGTGGCACTGAGGGACATAGTTTAGGGGTGGACTTGGCAGTGCTGGGTTAACAGCTGGACTTGACCTGAAAAGTCTTTTCCAACAATTCTATGACTTGCCTAGATAAGAAAATAAGCATACAGAAAACACTAATGCTCACCAGCTGTGCAATAATCATAGAATTGATAATCCAGCAATTAAAACTGCAGTTATTTTACCATGCATACAGTTCATTAAAGCTGCCTACTCATTAAGTACATTATGCAATTCTGGAACTCATTTAGAACATTTACGCACATTTCAAAAACTGTTTAGAATGGAAGAGAGAAAACTATGCACCAACAGAATTAAATTAAATGAAAGCCAGTGAGGTCTCTAACTGCAATTTCTGCTGAGAATTTACCAGATTCTCTTTGCAGCCATTTTTTGAAGTAATTTTTCTTTTCCAACCTCACCAACAAAGAGGAGAAATCACAATGATCACATACTCTCCTTTATTTAGGTGTTCCAAGTGGAAGATACTTTTTGTTATACTTAGAATACTGCTAACTATCTATCCTTCAGAAGCCAGAAGCCTTTTTTCAGGTGTACTCTATCAAAGCCACAAAATGAAAATTTGAGCGAAATTGAAGTTGAGCCATACCTGGGGCTCCTCTAAAAACAAGAAAGTGCCAGCTGTGCTTTTTCATTTCCTCCTCTATTACTGCAACTGTCAGCGCCGAATGAAACTCTCCCCTGGAAAACAGAAATCTAGGATTATGCTGCTAGTCTGGAGACTGGTCAAACTTTGACCAATATCCTGCTCTATTACAAATATAATATCTCATTTTTCAGTTCACCACCAATATTATGGTTCCAATGAACAAAAGGACATGTTAGGATATAGGGACTAAAAAATCTCAGAGAGGCATTTATGATAGTTCCATAGTTCTGTTTCTTGTAATACTGTTTTGTTACAGTTTTGCCTTGGATTATTTAAGGAAGCAATCTTTCATCAGCTGCTTATGTCCAAAACTAAGAAAGCAAACAGCAAATGCTGCTAAGTTTTTCTTTTTACTTTCAGACACTCTTCTCTTGGCCAAAACCAGATTTCTATCAGCTTAATGTACCCTCATTAAAACAAGCTCCCTACTTGATAAATCTTGCCAGAATTTCTTTAACAAAATACTTCTAAGGAAGTCAACGTTTAAAACAGAGGAGTACACATACATTTAACTAGTTGCCTAAAGCCCAACACTAGCAGATTCTATATGCTGTGCTACCACTTCAGTTTTCATGAAATCATGTAATCTTTCAAACTGCCAATCTGATGACTAAGAAGCTTTTGATTTTAATACGAACAGTTATGATTAAGACTACATAGTAATTGTAACACACCACCTTTCTCAGCTGCGTCTTGAGGCTTGGATTTTAAAGTGAAGATCTTTCTCAGTTTACAGCTAGCTGAAATACTAATTCCATCCAAAGACTGGAAGGCAGCTCCTCTGAATATTTCACTGGTGAATCCTACCAAGTCAATACACATATTGCACCACTAGAAGAGAAACAATACTCTTTAATAAAACCCAAACACTAATCATTGCAGAAGAGTTTTAGTGTAGAGTTCTCTATAAACAACATCTCTGTTAAGTATTAGATTTTCACAAGTTGCAATTAACAGTGCACATTTTGATAATAGAAAATATATTGCTATATTTGCACGTACAGCTATTACTTATACAAATCAGTATATACAACCTAGCGACTGCCAGCCCAACTAGCACATCTACAATATGTTTTGCAGCTAACTTGTAAGAAAGTATACTCATTAAGGGTTTTCCACAGAAAAGAATTTGTTACTCAGCATTACTTCATAAGTTAAAGTTACTACAGCTTAAGTACTCCAGAGGCTAGAGTTTGAGAGTCTTTGAAGATTTGTTTCTGAGATTCATAAAACAAAAAAGACCTCTCCAAAGCTTGCACCCCTTCCACACTGAAAAATATCAGGAAAATGTATATTATGTATATCAGTGTATCATAATATCTTCAAACTACTTCTTGTGTACACTATCTATCTAATCACTGAAAGCAGCATACTTCTTTTAAGTAAAAGCAACAATAAAAAGGCAGATAACCATGTAAAAGAGACAGATACGTATTCAGACATACTAAGAAATAAAGACCTAGTCTTCAAGGTTGGTCAAGCATTAAGGTTATTAAAATATTTTGTCATTAGAACTGATCAGAGCATTTAGATGGATCTCTCATTAATGTTATTATCTAAATTAAAATACAAACCTGAAGTTCATATTCTGATTGACTTTAATGTGGTGGACATTAATGCATACTTTAATCCTGAGACATCTGTGCTAGTCTGGCACCAAGGCCAACTAAATGAAATAATATGGAAGAAAAAATTATTTAATTGTAGTGGATCTTGAATTTCAGGGGTATGATCTGATATGTATTCATTCATAAAAAAAATCCTACCAGAAAAAAAAAAAAAAAATCAACCAAATTATCACAGCTGCCTCCACCAAAACTACTATAAAAGAAGTCATAACTTCAGAGTTTTTTTGTAAGATATTCTCTCATGCTTAGCCTTAAATCCAGATCTGCTTAGTATACCAGATGCTATCTAGTTTTCTTGGTGCACACTTACATTGTAAAATATTTGAACTCTAAGTATACTCATCTCCATGTTATTTTCTAAATCAGTATTTGAGACTTGAGTCTTTACAAGGTTATGTGGTAACCATCAGGTTTTGTATTCTGACAGCTATTATGTTGTGGCTGGGTGTGGAAGAGTAGAACAGGGAGATGACGATGGCTGTGAGCTTGTTTTTATTAGTTTGTCATACACATTGCTTTATATGTGCCAAAATCTGGAAGAATCTGAAGCACAGGAAAGTAGCCATCAGCTATAGTTTACCTGCAGCTCCAGTGAGTATAATAAAAGCTCACTACATGGTAAAGTACAGACAAAAAGGAGCACTATAATGAAGAATTATCAGGGACATAGAGAAATTACAGAGGCTAAATAGACAGCGGAAGTAAGGAATAAATACATCACAAGCAACATTAATCTTGCAAAATGGGAATGAACTCCAGATGTAGAAGAGTAGAAAAGTTGCAGTATTAAGTGGTTCTGATACTACCCAGCAGAAAGGACATACACATCTGCCTTGAATGAGCAGGAACTGAATTATAAACCAAACAGTAATTTCAACAGATCTATAAACTTCCATAAAATGTTTCTGGTGAAAAGCCTGTGCTCAACCCCAGTCCAAGAAATATTCCCAAGTTACTTACTATTCTGCGTTTCATTGTAAACAGTGGAATTTTTGCATGCAAAAGGGGTCATAGACAACTCCTTGTGGACTGCTGATAAATACAATCTTCTTTTAATACTTCCTAAATCAGTTATCCTATAAAAGAAAAAGCAGGAGAGAATGGAACAGATGTTTGTCAATTCAATTCAATTCAATTCAATCCAATATCTTTGGCTAAGATATCTTTTTATCATAAACACATCTATTCATACACAGAACCTTTGTGTCAGTGATGGCAAATACAGAATTTGAGAATTACTGCTTTTACAAGATGAGTAGTAAGATTTCTTTCTCCAATTCAAAATTGGTGGCTATATTCCTGCACATAGAAAACCACTTTACATGCTAATTTTATTTCAACAATCTACACCCTTTACTAGCTTTCCACAGCCCTTCAGATTACAAAAGAAATCAATTTGTATGAATCGAGAACCGAGTAGCCTTTAATAATCATGCTCGTTTCTGCCCCTTAAGCTTGCGTTATCTTGGGACAAACTGTCACACACTAACTAGAAAAACATTATTTGCTTTCCTTTCCTAAAAATATCTCCGTCATTTCATATAGACTCTTGTCAGCTTAAAGACAGAGACACAAGACATTGTCTGAATTACTTTCTGAGCACACAATCTTCAAATGTAAATTATATCCCTGAAGTTTATTGCTCACTCTTCAGGTCATCTGACAACACCACCAAGGACATTTCTAACAGATTCAGACCACAGCCATGATCACAAAGATTAGGTTTCCTTTAAATCAATAAAGAGGCTCATTTTTCTGTCCTGTTTCATTCAACTCTTGTGAACAGATGTACTGATTTCAGCTGGCATAGAGGGAAATTTCTTCAAAGTAACTTATACAGACCTGTGTTTTAGATTTGCATTGAAAAGTGTGTTGGTAGCATAGAGATGTTTTCATTGTTGCTGAGCAGAGCTTACACACCATCGAGGCCTTCTCTGCTTCTTATACTGCCCTGCCAGCAAGGAGGCTGGGAGTACAAGAAGTGGAACGGACAGTGAGAGCACTGCTATGCGTGGCTTAGCTGCCTACTGGGGTTAAACCACAACAGCAGCACAACCTTGATATCCCCCAGCAGTTCTACTTTATTATACCAGAGAACAGACATTACTTTAGAGGCTGCAATCTGTATGGGGAAGTAATGATTAATTTACCTATTATTTTTGAACAAGACTATTTCTAACAGATGGGTACTCCTCTCTAATTACCAGCCCCTTTGAGAAGATGACACATTATTACAATAAACTTTCTGTCACTAGTTAGTGTTTTTAGACATAATCATTATATTTAAATGCTGGGGTTTACTTTGAAATTGTGAGAAAGCCCTGTAGATTTTTTTATCACTGAAGACACTTTTTCAACTATTTGTAGCTTAGCTAATGAAATGTTGCCACCCAAACTCTGCAAACACCCTAAAATCTTCTTAGGTTTCCTTAGGTCAGTTTAGGAGGGCATTAACTCCAGAGCAAGTTACATACTTGAGCTATTCTGGCAATCTGAGAGTTCAGCCAAGAGCAGTACAAAATACACTGCAAGTATGTAAAGATCAAAAAAGTTCTACCAGCACACGTAATAAAGATACAGCAGCACCTTCTTGTTTCCCCACACTCATTAAGATCATTATGCATATCAAACAAAGCCCTAAGCCTTCCAGAACTTCTTGATTCTTTCCTCTCCCCTGGAGACCATCCAATGTTTAACCTATTAATCTTCATAACATGGGTGGGCAAATAAAAACACGGTGGAGGAGTCTACTAGCTGCTTCACCTTGCAAGACTAGCAGTTAGTCTAGTCACATGCACTTCGAAGGCAAAAATTTCACTGGCGTGCCAGGGGAAGAACATTACATCCTCACCACTGCTGTCATTTGACATAGCAGATTTCTGAGTCATCTGCACATATTTATGGATGTATGAATAATAACATCAAGCCCTTGAAAAGTTATTTCATCAGAAGACCTCAAAGTGTCTTACATGGTGGACTTAATCCTACTTTTCAAGACTTAGTTCCATTCATCACTTTGCTTCTCATATGCCCTTTGATGGAAAATCTACGGATGTAGTTATCAGAAATCTCCACTCTGTCTAAACCTTGATAGGAGATTAAGGTAATAAAGAACTCTAAAGAACTGAAGTAGTGGTTGCTTGAAATCCCTAAGTCTCCTTGCTATGTGTGGAGCTAAGCAACTGTCCTTAGGAACCACACAGTTGCAATAACCTGAGTGCTGAAGCACAAATACTATTCCTGCTGAATCTCAAGCTCTGTAATTCTCAATGTAGAAGGTTGCTTTAGATGATGCTACAACAGAGAGGTAGGTGACTAGACTGAAGTCATGCATATCTCCAAACAACTGGTAATAAAAACTTAAATTCACTTTATAATATTAGTTCAGTACGTTTGTATTTTATTATTTATATTAATAGTTTTTTCTCTCTCCTGAAAAATATTAGGTACCTCAGCAATAAAAAGGCCATTAGTAAATGTACAGCTCAGTTACATTCCAAAGTGCAGTGCAGCACTGTGCACTTCTATTTAGATTAAAATACAAACACTTATATCTGACTCTGTTATGCAAATGTAAAATAAGATTGTTCTTGTGATAGTATGTGTGCTGTAAAGAAGCATCAAACCTTAGATATATAGTTACAATCAAACCTAAAGAGATTTAAGATTTATGTTAATAATTACATTTAAAACAATAAAGATATTTATACAGTACATGAAAAAGTAGGTGGAACATCTGAATAACTGGCAAAATTGGAAAAAGATGGTCTTAAAATTCTGTAAAATCATTTACGTCCTGGAAGAAGAGTTGGTGTAACTTTCAGACTTCAGTTACATTGCTTCTTGGAAAAGAAACCAAGGGGTTGATGAAACTCTTCTTAAATAATACAGACAACAGAAATTAGAACATTTGAACTCTCACTTGTAAAACGATACAAGAATACTTGTGGTGAAACTCAACTTTTTCCTGTTATCAAAAAGCACAACCTATGCTAAACCTACAAAGTCAAGAAACATCTGCAGCACATGTCTTGATTTTCAAAGGTGTACTAAAAAAAAAACCTATATAAAAGTTAAAGCATTTTTATTATGTCTGTGCTTGAGTATTTATATCTAAGGGTCAGATGTGCTAGAAAAGTAATGAGACCATGTTGAGAAAAATAAGGTAGTCAACAGGAAAATCAACCTCATTTATAATAACATTCCTGTGATCAGCAGGTGCATAACTCTCCCTGCTACAGTCATTAACCGCATTCATTTCACACTTAACATCTACATTTGCAAACCATTTGAAAGCAAAATTACCTTCCAATTCAATTTTCAATTTTATTTCATATCTTCAACTTTGATAGACTATTCTCCTCACAAAGGTATCTATACTCAGATTGCAAGAAAATGGTGACAGCTACCCAAGAGTACAGACAAACTCGTCTTCTCAGATTACCTATTCACTTTGCTTCTGTTCACCATTTGCTAATGTTCAATTCAATGCTTAAAACAAACTTAGAAAACATGACACTGGACTGCTAAAGGGATGCTTCATTTATCAGGCTCACTTGTTCTTAAAATGGAAGTATCTGTCTCTTTATAAATGACTTAAACTGGAAGTTTACCAAACATGAAAGCAGGTATTTCATTGATGTCATTAACCAAAGGGCAACTCCCACACAATTTGTTATTAATGGAAATCTCCTTGTATGCTCGTCAAAATCCAGACAAAATATTCTGCAAATGCTTAATTATTAGTATGCTAGTATATTAATGTAATTAGCAACTCTAGTGCTATTGTCTCCGTAAGTAGTATGTGCTTCAGAAACATTAGATAGTATCATCACCATCTCCAGTTTAAGACTGGAAACCAAAGAAATAGCAATGGTCAGCTGATTTGTCATGTTTACAAATTCTTAGAGTGGGATATATGTCTTTTTGGATATCTGTTTCCTGAATTACCACCCATGCTCTGTTAGCACTCTAATGAAAGCGCTGACTGAAAGAGTTATTAACAAATGCTTACTTTAACATCTATGTTAATCGCCTTTGCATGTTATGGCATTTAACATAACCTAATACTTTTAAGAATGTTTCTGTATTTCACGCCTGCTTCACAAAGAATTCAAGGAGCCTTATACTAGTAAACATCAGAATTTCAAATAATTCCTCCAGCTACATCTGTTCAACAAAGTTTACCTTCAGTCGCTATCTAAAATCTTCAAACACTGTCAGAAGTACGACAGAATTAGCAGCTCTGTCCTACTTCTGATTTTAAAAAGTTGGTCTAAGTTTTGCAAAATTAACTTTATTGTTCTGTATCTGAAAACATGCAGGGTCTTCAGATTAATATGAATAATTTATCATATCTCTGTCAGCAAAGCAAAAACTATGACTATGATAGCATGTAGTTCACAAATTCAAGCTGTTATGGTGCCTATAAATAAATGACCTATGCATGTAAAATCCAGTATGTGCTGGTTATCAAAAACTGGAAAGTAATAAACTTGTATTTACAGAAGCAACCGATGGAAAAAAGGAAATACAGTACAACTATCTATATTCTGCAGCACTGTTCACAAGCCCTGCAATAAATTTTTTTATCAACAACTACTTCAGGAACATAAACATTTTAAGTCCCTTCCCCCTGCAGATTGGTATATACATAACTAGCTAAACTTTCACAGAAAACTTCTTAAACTTTATCAGGTATGTTCCAGAGCTTGAAACTCCACAGAGTTCCTGTTTATTCAATAAATCAAGAGCACCTCTGTGTTATAAACCCACTAAGCATCTATGTATGATCAAAACCATCACTCCTCACAGAGTAAAAAGGAGCTACAGCTGTGGTTTCAGGGTATGCTAATTCTGAGATGTCGTTCCAAAGAGTTAGGAAAATGCCAGTTTTTCAAAACAATGCCTTCCAACTGTGTTTGATTACTCCCAAGATTTCTAAAATTCTTCTGCCTTGCAAAATATACATTAAACAAAAAAACAAGCACCTGCCTTAATTAGGATGAATTTCAAAAAGAAAAAAAAATCCCGAAACTAAATTAGGTTTAAAATACAAAGTCAGTACCTTTAAATTACAGACTAAACCCTATATGTGGGAAGGAACAATCCCATGTGCCAGAACAGCCTGAGGGTGGATTGCCTGGAAAGCAGCTTTGTACAAAATGACTTCAGGGTCCTGGTCACTGGTGGAGAACAAGTTGAGTCAGCAAAGCACATCTCCAGCATAGAAGGTCAAGAGCACCCTGTGTTGCACATGGGAAAGCATTGCCAGCAAACCCAGAGCAGCAACCCTTCCTCGCTACTCAGCTCTGATAAGACCACAGGAGGAGCACTGGGTCCAGTACTCAGCTCCAAGACAGAAGAGACATAGGCATACTGGTGCAAGTCCAGTGCAGGATAATGAAGATTAAGAGACTAGAACATCTGACTTAGGAGAGGTTCAGGGAGCTGAACAGGGAGGTTCAGTTTAGCCTTGAGGAGGTTCAAGGGGATTTCACTAATGCGTATAAACCCCTTGTTGTGGTTTAAACCCAGTCAGGTAACTCGTTTGCTCGCTTCCCCCCCTTTCTTGCCCTCCCCCTGCTCCCGGAGGGACGGAGAGGAGAATCGAAAAGAATGCAACTCCCACGGGTTGAGATAAGAACAGTTTAGTAACTAAGGTATAACACAAATCACTACTGCTACCACCAATGATAATAATGATAAAGGAAATAACAAGGGAAGAGAATACAACACCTCAGCACCAGCCGACCGATCACTCGCCCCCCTCAGCCCGACCAAGCACCGACCGATACCTCCTCCAACCCTGCAGTCTCCCAGCCCTTCCAGCTAACTCCCAGTTACATCCTGGGCATGACGTGCTGTGGTATGGAATACCTCTTTGGTTAGTTTGGGTCAGGTGTCCAGTCTCTGCTTCCTCCCGGCTTCCCCTCCTCCCTGGCAGAGCATGAGGCTCACAAAGTCCTTGGCCAAACCAAAACATCGCTATCAGCTCTGTTCCTGAGCTGAAAGTCAAAACACTGCACTACACCAGCTACCAAGGAGGAGAAAAATGACTGCTACTGCTGAACCCAGGACACCCCTGATGGGAGGGAGTAAAGACTGAGCCAGACTCTCCTAACCAGTATTGAAAGAATGGGTATCTCTGGTGACGATATGTGGTAAATAATTTATTCTTCAAAGATTTTATCAATGTTCGGATTCTAAATTCATGTCAAAAATTAAGCATGACACACAGGAATGTATGATTTTACCAACATGACGTAGGTTATAAATGCCCACTAACTCACAAACCACTGAGACTTAAAACCCTGCATGAATTGTTACAAATCCAATGAGGAATTTTTATAATTGAGTCAATTCACACTAGCATATTTGTTAAAGTAACAAAACATTCCAAGATAACTCTACTTGCACAAAGGCACAGAAGATAACAGAACTACCCAGCAACATAAAATAGCACACCATCCTGACTTAACAGATTATTCACATCATAATGAACACCACAGGATTTCCAGTGGCCTAGTGTTTCTTTTGTTAACTCAGATCTCAGTTCTGCTGGTTACAAAACTGAGTTGTGCTGGTTACTAACAACTGGTGCCACTAGGGGGACAGAATGCTGTCCAAGACTGACAATAACCCAAGTTCCCATTCATGATTTTCAGTTTGTTCTGTCTTCAAAGGAATGTCAGTATTGAAAACATCCAAGAAATAACAAATCTCATTAGCTGAATTCCTTATTCACTTGATAAGTCCCTGTGCTTTAACGCAAAGTCTGCTACCACAATTAACAGCTACAAACAGGCACTAAGTATTCAAGGACATTTTATGAACCTTACAGTAACTCAATGGAGAAGTCTCGTCCCAGTGGCACAAAAATCTGAAGTGTCAGAAATCTCTGGATCAGTCCCACTAGAAATACGGGGGGAAAAAAAAAAACAAAAAAAAATCAATCCATGTGCTGTGTGTGTGCAGATGCCCATTTCACCATCAAGCATTTCAATTCTGTACCCTACAGCTATGCTCCTGCAACGCTACTTCCCAAGGTTCACGCAACATATGAACATGACAAAAACCTGAAGAAAACCAATTCAAACTGCAACACAAGTGTTGTTTTACAAGTCCCATCTGTGGCTTTGCTGGAATTCTCATGAAAACAAAATGCAACTTTTTTATTTTTACTTACAATTCTTGTGTTCCAAGAGCACCAAACTTCCCATATGCATTATAAAGTTAAGTAATACTTTCCTATTAAAATTATATTATAGTCATATCAAACTTGTGCCCATGTTTGTGACAACATATATGTTCTTAAACAACAACAAACAACTGAGCAAGTGGCTGCATGGTTCTGAGTTACCAGCTGGGCTTAAACCACAATAGTTCTTTTTGGCACTCAGCGTGAGTCACAAAGGGTTGAGATAACAGATCTGACCAGAGTGTGCCTAGTCGTGTCTGTGATAAGCATTCATTGTTTTGGATTAATAGTCACTCATCACAATGCTGTATTATTGGCTCTCAAAGTTGCTGCTCTTGATCTCAGAGTTTCAGTATATCGTACCTTACTTACAGCTGGTATTTGCTGTCTTAGTGTTTATTGGCTGGGGGGCCTGGGCTAAGCTTCTTATTTTGCGGTACTTTATGGTAATGACTTGCAATACAATAGACTCATTGATAGTGAAACTGATCTTGCTTGCATTCCCAGTGTGGTCATCACCTCAATACTTTGGGGGGTATATAACAGAAATGGTTAGCAATTACACTTTTTTTTTTTTTCTTCCTTGGGTGGTCAACCTATGAAGGAGAGGGTGAATTGAGTCAGTTTGCTGAGGTGAAAGCCATCCAGCAGGTCTTGGACATTGCTGAACAAGAAAAGTGGCCAGTACTTTCTCTCTACACTGACTTATGGATGGTGGCAAATGCCCTGTGGGGGTGGTTGCAGCAACGGAAGCAGAGCAACTGGCAACGCAGAGGCAAACTCATCTGGGTTGCTGCACTGTGGCAAGATATTGCTGCCAGGGTGCAGAACCTGGTGGTGAAGGTACGTCATGTAGATGCCCATGTACCCAAGAGTCGGGCCACAGAGGAACACCAGAACAACTAACAAGTGGATAAAGCTGCTAAGACTGAAGTGGCTCAGATGGACTTAGATTGGCAACATAAAGGCAAGTTATTTTTGGCCTGCTGGGCCCATGACACTTCAGGCCATCAGGGCAGAGATGCAACATACAAATTGGCTTGTGATAGAGGGGTGGACTTCACAATGGACACTATTGCCCAGGTTATTCATGAGTGTGAAACATGTGCTGCAATTAAACAAGCCAAGGGGTTAAAGCCTCTTTGGTATGGTGGATGATGGTTGAAGTATAAATATGGGGAGGCCTGGCAGATTGACTATATCACGCTCCCACTAACCCGCCAAGGTAAGCTCCATGTGCTTACCACGGTGGAAGCAACCACCGGGTGGCTGGAAACATACACTGTGCCCCACGCCACTGCCCAGAACACTATCCTGGGCCTTGAGAAACAGATTTTGTGGCGACACGGCACCCCAGAGAGAATTGAGTCAGACAATGGGACTCATTTCCGGAATAACCTTACAGACACTTGGGCCAAAGAGCATGGCATTGAGTGGGTTCATCACATCCCCTACCATGCACCAGCCTCCGAGAAAATCAAACAGTACAATGGGCTGTTAAAAACTACACTGAGAGCAATGGGTGGTGGGACTTTCAAACACTGGGATACACATTTACCAAAAGCCACCTGGTTGGTCAACACCAGAGGATCTGCCAGCAGGGCTGGCCCAGCCCAGTCAGAATTTTTACATACTGTAGAAGGGAAGAAAGTTCCTGTGGTACACATAAAGAATTTGCTGGGGAAGACAGTCTGGGTTATTCCTGTTTCAGGTAAAGGCAAACCTACTTGTGGGATAGCTTTTGCTCAGGGACCTGGATATACTTGGTGGGTAATGCTGGAAGATGGGGAAGTCCGATGCATACCTCAAGGGGATGTGATTTTAGGGGAAAACAGCCAATGAACTCAATTACATGCTGTTGCCTGCTACATAACACTTTCATAGACCACCAACTAAGATGTCTTCAGATCACCAGTGACTGGCCCTGACTTCCCTCCAACCATCATCCCAACAAGGAATGATGAAACCAGATGAGCTCAGCAGGGACCAGACGAGTTACGCAGTGTCATCAGTGGGCACCAATCCAACACTACACACCGTCTCTCCTGCTCTGAAAGACTGTTACAAGAGGTGGAGCCCAACATCGTGGACTAGAAGAACTCAGTAGCTTTGTAGGGATTGGTCCATGCACTAAGGAATGATATCTCTTTGTGTGTGTGTGCATGTGTGTGTGTGTATATATATATGAGACAAAGAGTATGTATTGAAAAATGTGGAATCTGAGAAAGACATGAATGGTATGGAATAAGGAGTGGATACTGTCCTGGGCTCAGCAGTAGCAGTCATTTTTCTCCTTCCTAATAGCTGATGCAGTGCTGTGGTTTTGACTTTCAGCCTGGGAACAAGGCTGACAACACCAATGTTTTTGGTTGTTGCTCAGTAATGTTTACTCTGACCAAGGACGTATTGAGCCTCATGCTCTGCCAGGCAGGAGGGGAAGCCAGGTGGAAGCAGAGACAGGACACCTGACCCAAACTAGCCAAATAGGTATTCCATACCACAGCATGTCATATAAACTGGGGGTAGTAACCCGGGTTAGATTGCTGCTTGGGTCAGGCTGGGTATCGGTTGGAAGGTGGTGAGCGGTGGTGTTCTCTTCCCTTGTTATTTCCCTTATTATTGGTGGTAGCAGCAGTGGTTTTGTGTCATACCTTAGTTACTGAACTGTTCTTATCTCAACCCTTGGGAGTTACATTCTTCCTATTCTCCTCATCCCTTCGGGAGCAGGGGAAGGAAGAGGGGGAGTGAGTGGCTGCATGGTTCTGAGTTGCTGGCTGGGCTTAAACCATGACAAGAACTGAACCCAGCAGCACCAGAACAGCATGTATCAACAAGGATCTTCCCTACAGCCATTACTTTAATTTCTGTATCTTTTACTTCTTTGTATCTGACTATCTAAAAAGTTAATGAAAAAACACTTTGCTAATACTGAATTATGCCCTAAGTAAGGGAGAATACCTTGGGTACAAACTGGAACACAAGAGGTTCCACTTAAACTTGAGAAGAAACTTCTTCTCAGTGAGGGTGACGGAACACTGGAACAGGCTGCCCAGGGAGGTTGTGGAGTCTCCTTCCCTGGAGACATTCAAAACCCGCCTGGACGCATTCCTGTGTAACATTATCTAGGTGTTCCTGCTCCGGCAGGGGGATTGGACTAGATGATCTTTCGAGGTCCCTTCCAATCTCTAACATACTGTGATACTGTGATACTGTGATACTGTGAATAGAGCAAGTTTTATATTACAATACAAGACTGATTTAATAATCAGAACAACATCACAGACATTAAATTCTTTGATACTTACATGTTTGTCTAGTTTCCTTTGGTAGCTGCATTTTGTTGACTTGACTGTTTCCTTCAAGTACAAAAACAAAGCCTTTTACTTCTTTATCATATTCCTACAGAAAGAAACAATAACCAAACAGAAGCATCATGATAGAATTCTTCTCCTCACAATCAACCACACCACTATCATGCAAATCTGAATTTTTTCATCTCAAATGGCAGATGGCACTGCAAGTATGACAGGAGTTCAAATATCATGGTAATCTATTTTTATGGATTATGTCCTTTACTTGCATGTTTTATGAACAAATAATGCTGACAAACAGGACTCGTGATCCAATGGGCCCAACTCAACCCATTAGGTAGCAGAATAGCAAAATTACTTCCTAAATATTTAAAATACGAAATTAATTTTCATTCACTTTTTTTGTTTTATACTCATTTCATAAGTTTCTTTAAAAAAAAAACACTTACTTTCCATATAGCTGATGAATTGCCAGAAATCTTCCATATTGCTTCTGGGTTCTTGCCTTGAGCACTGAATATTTCAACAAATGGGCCACCCTAGGAAATGATGATGAAATGGTTTAAGGATACACCATCCAACTACACGTTCAGCACTGAATCATCAATAGTCAAGATGAGTACATAGCAACAATCCCTCCATATAGGCTGTTACCACAGACAGTATTACTGATCAGTCAGACAGCAGAACATTAATAACAGCTTCTTGACTACTGCAATGTAGCAATTAAAATAGTCAATATTTGGCTTTAATGGAGGAGCGGAACATAAAATTGAAGGAATACCATGCAATGTTTTTACATTTTATTTTAGAATGTCATTCTCCAAAAAGCAAAATTACAGTAATTTTTCATATTTTGAGATTAGTAATTTATATTTGCATATGGTTAATTTCTACCATTCATCAAATGAGGGGAGTTTTAAAACTTACTGCTAAAAAATAAGCTATTGCAGATTGAATGTTTTGTCTGATTTCCTATGGAAATAAGCTTTATACAATCTGTCTACACATGTATGTTAAAGACACTTCCCAGTAACTTCTCTACCAGTTACCAGTTTCCAGCCTGATTTGACCAGTCTGGGAAACTCACAAAAATTTACCATCTTTACTGGGCCAACTTAAGTGGCCGCAAGGTAGATCTGACCCTACCAGTATTACCATAAATAGGGCTGTACTCGCTGCAGTCTTCACAAGACATCAGATCATTAATAGTGGAAAAAAATTATGAATGCCCCTGCCAGGTGACAACTCCTTACACAGAGCATGTGTGCTATTAGACATCAAAGAGCCTAACCCCAGGCTCTTGGGGGACATAAGCTTTATCACGTCTCCATAGGGAATTATTTGCTTCAATATTTTTTCCCATTTGATGTCACATTTTTGGTGACATCTGATGTACTCAGCCTACAGTTGGCTAAGCATTTTGTCAGCAGCATGCTTGACTTAATCAATCATTGCAGCTCTGCTGCTCTCTTCCCATTCTTAGTTGTCTGCACTCCCTGACTGTTTCTGCTCAGCTGCCCAAACAATCGCCCACAAGTCAGAATGAACAAGAGGGGTGAGCAGTCTTGCCAGCAAAATAAATGCCTTCATAGAACATCAACTCTGCACCATGTATGAATCAGGCATTTTCCTCTGCTCACCGACACCTGGCATCTTCCACTCACATGGCTAACCCTAGTGACCAGACCAAATTCTAAGGAGATTCAAAATGGCATTCCAGAAACTGCACTCATAAAAAGTTTTTTAATTTTAGAATCAATAAAAATAAGTGGCTTTTTCTAACATATTTACAAATACCTTTTGTTAATACTCAGCCCTTGAGTAGGCCCTCAGTTGAGGTTAAACTTACTGAACAGGACATAAAAAACTACCAGACATGGCATGAGAAAAAGTTCCTTATTGCCATGGAGGATGGCTGGACCTAATGGGTGGCCAAGGAGGAGTTAAGCAAGTAACTGTCAAACTCCACAATCAACTAGAGGGGAGTATGGAGCATCTTTTGGGGAGCACAATCCTGCAAAGCTGACACCACCAAGGCAATGGAACCCAAAAATACTATATAAAGCTCAGATAGCCAGGTAACAGCACCGGAAATACCAATTTCAGGTATAGGAGTAGAACATCGGGGACCAGTGGGGGAAAGAGCAGTTACACATGGGCTGCTCTCTTCGGAGGGCACTGGTGTAGAGAAAGGGAAGCAAAGCATGGTGAAAAGGAAGGCCAGGAAAAGTAAAAAGGACAATAAGATCTGTGAATTAAATGAAGCAATGAGTGTTGTTACAACCCTGTGCTGGACCAAAAGAATAAACCAACCCCCATTTTCTGACTATACCTGAAGTGCTGGACTTGCTCCCATGACCGCTTGGGAGCAGATGGTTCGCCTTGCCTGGCCAGTGAGAGTACAGACAGACAAGAAGCCATGGGTAACAGCAAGTTAGTGTCCATGCTAGCTCTGACAGCATCAGCAGCTACCTCCTATTTTATAACATTGCTAGAAAAAACACTGAATAATGAAAAATTCCAAAACATTTTTGTTTCTGGACTTTTTGCCCACCCCACTTCCCCCAACTAAGCCAACTTTAACTGAGTTCTCACAGAGATTAAATGAAAAAGGGTAATAAAAACCTGTTTATTTTACCTGGTACTGATTTTTGAACATTTTCCAGTTTTCACAGGCAAAAAAAAAAACAATTTCAAGCTTCTCAGACAGCAGTGTCTTAAAGTTGCCTGTAAATAAAATAAAAATGGAAACCCAATCAGATATCAGAAATTTACCCCGGGCTGTTTCCTGAAACACCAGTTCAGTTTAAACTTTTAGATTATAAGGAAAGGGAAATTTAGGAACCATGGCATTTGTAACAGACCTATCAGAAAATGTAATTAGTATGTTGATCTTATTACTTTCATGCTGCTGCTGCACATCGAACACGGGTTGCATGATTCTGTATTTTAGACAAGTTTCCATACAAATCTCCCACTTGTTCAATTAGCATAATTGTTTTTTTAAGAATGACTACATCAACAGCTATATTGAACTATTCTAAATTATGAACTAGATGGTTTAGAAATGCCTTTTAAAGAATGTACTTCTAATGCATGCATTATTTATATGTATATTCATTTTACATACAGAGCAATCATTCTGGAAAGCACCGTTTGTTCATTTTTTTGTCTGCAGCCTTATCTTTGCTATTATCTACAGCCTTTAAACAAGCCACAACTACTGAAAAATTACATGATTCATGTCTTAGAAGTAGTGGCACCATGGAGCTAATCTCAGAGTGACCTACTGCTTTGATTCACTTGGGCAGAACTAAATGTGAAGGACCAGCAGTGCAAGAGAGGCAGAAGACAGACCCTCCAACAGCATATACTTACAATGAGTATTGCTGTAACTGTCAGTGATGTACTTCTATAACTAATGATTTCACAATCCCCCAGGTTTTATGTATTAATTTTAAGTGAAGGAGGTAGAAAGGAAGACGCTGCTTTTACTTGGAGCAAAGCCCTTTCACTTTTGCTTTAAAAATCAGTTCCAGACTTGCCAAACAGCATGCATTTCATACAACCCTCACCTATTCTGCAGTTATGTTATGCTTTATTACATCTCAGGGAAAAATATTAAAGCTAAATAAATGTAGGGATCCTGATGGAAGAGTGACTGCATTAAAAGCATAAAGTTCCCAGACTGAAAAGAGCAACTCATCTCTTTCATAGACTAGCACTAATATTCTGGTCAGGAGTCTCCAGAGACTGTAATCATACTACATATTTTGACATATTTAATGTGTAGCATGTATAAGTCACTTCATTACCATACCATCCTTCAGGATTGAAAGGCAAAGCTACTTAGCAAGCTGGACAGCTACAGTATTCGTAGACACTGCTGTAGTCAGAATAACACATAAGACATAGCATGTAATACTTTTTCTTCAATGTGTTCTCATAAGGCATACCTGGCTTTGATAGGAGCCAGTCCACCAATGGCAAATCACACAGGGTTCTGAAGGAAGATGCAAACAGCTCTGCATACAGTGCATGAGTGGAAGTCACCTTGATATATTAACTTGGGTTCAACACTATGCTAATACACTTTGACTCTCAGCAGTGCTTGTTAGCTCTGGCTTCACATCACTAACGTATCTCCACTGTATTGTATGGAGATAGTTCTCAGTTGGCTCTGAGCGCATAAAGAACATAAATGTGAAGACACACACCTTCATCACAAAAAAACTTCTGCTACTAGTTAATTCTTTTTAAGTGGAAGAAGCAGGTGTCTGAACTGATAAGTTCTCATTTGAATGATGTTTAAGACAGTAAAGATGATCAAATAATTACAATTTCCATAACAGATCACAGAAAAGGTTGAATATGTATGAAGAAGTAAGATCTAGAAAGTATATGATAGAAGAAAAATATAAAACTGTGCAAATGAAGGACCATGAACCTCACACCATCACAAGGAGTCCTCAAATTGTCAGCTAAAGTTCATTCTTACAAAATGGCTTGATATTTGTCACCAACGTAGTTGGTTTTTAAACTGACATACAGGAAGCTAATTTATTTACTAATTTGCAAAACATATTTTATACAGACTCAGGAAACTGATGACCCTTGTAACGTTTTAGTTCATAACAAGCTGGCTCATTTTAGTGAAAGGGAAGCTAGACCCAAGGTTTGTAAACTGTGTTGGGACAATTCATTCATACTAGGCTGATTACTGTAAACTTTGTCAGTTTGTCCTTCATAAAGACAAGAAGTATTGCAAGTGACACTGCAATACATATTTGCTTATATATTGTTTACTTGTAACTTTGTAATTTCCATTAAGTTACTACAAATGAAGACTACAAATTACCTTTGTTTTTAAGATTGGTAGCTGCTAAAAGCATTAAGTGAATGACATTTGTCATATAAGTACTAAGATAATATTAAGAAGTGCTTTCATTATGTATGAAGTATTACTGTCTTTATAGTAACCTGTAATTAAAACCAAAAGAGAACAGCCTCAAAAATTGATAGTTGCAGTATTTTTCATCTTTCCTCCTCCAGAAATTCTAAAAATCAACCGTGCTTAAAATCCAGTGGGACTATTTTAGAAAAGTCAACAGCATCTTGAAATCCAAGCCCTCAATATTTTGCATATTTGTCAAATAAATAGACATGACATATTTATAGAATGCCATGAAGTAGCAGTTCACTCATTTTTCAATCACAGATCAAATTTATTTTCTTATTGAACCACGTACTTTAGTACATCCTCCAACTGGAAATACAAGCTTTAAGCGCCAGTCAATGACAAACCAAAAACGTAGGTTCTAAAGCTAAGTGACAACAAAACTATTTATCTTTGGAAAAAGAGATTCCTGTCAGGATTTATCTTGTAAGGTCTTTATTGGTTCGATAACTCTAATCATTAGTTTCACAATGTTTTCTGCAGCAAAAATAAAGTGGCACCAGTCCAAAGAGCCCTCTGATCTTTCCATTCACACAAAATACATAAGACCCTGCAAAAAAATCTCCACTCTATGACTTCTTATGTGTATTTTGTTGCTTTAAACTAGAATGTTTCATTCAAGTATTTAAATATTTTGTGTTTATGTAGGCCCAGGATTCAAATAGTTACAAGCAAAAGACCACTTCACAAATAGTAGAGACAGACCTTCATGCATCTTTAAATTATCTAACACTAAGCACTACTCTAACCCCAAGGGAGGGAGGGAGGGATGGACAGATTCATACAGTCCTACAAACCTTCACAATCATAGTCCATTTTAAGGCAAGAGATACCTTACATAAGTATATGAATACATTTTTATCGTCAACATCCCAGTGTTGAAGAAGCTGTGTTTATTTAAGATTTTCTATTCCAAAGTCAAAAGTGTGAAGCAACATAAAGTGAATTTGCACCTCCTACTGATTTGCACTGAAAATGACACAAACACACCTTTTTTTTTGGCAGGGAACATACGCTTAGATCCAGGACTGTTAATACATGTAACTCACCATGATGGGCCCAAAGCCAGTGCTGATTTATGGTAGGCCGGGACACACCAGAGAAAGCACTTTATCACTCATGAAGGGTTTTAGTATCTTCCAGACAAATGAATTCTACATATGGAATATTTAAAGCTGGGTCTGTAACACCACTATATATTTTCTCAAAATACAAGTTAACATAACAAATGGGCAGAAAGACCATTAATAAGTTATACTGATGTTACTGGCGTTCCTATGTGACAAGCAGCACAGCCAGCTTTAGAATAATTAGAAATCAAACATATTTAAAATGTAGCACTGTTCACACATAAAGGAAAAAGAGACTTTAAGGGGAAGGTGCAGCTACACCTGGTATGCCAGGAATGTGCACTCCACAGTGGTTCCCATGGCAACACGGACAGAGAATGGAGCAGAGCGAAGATTCTGCGGCCACACTCCGTCCTAACACCAGCAGAGATGGGAACTAGAGGGTACTAGAAACTGATAAGCTGCATAATTGTTACCCTGAGCCTACAGCCTGTCATCTTCTGACAAACTGCTGTCCTTTGTGCAAACTTTGCTTCATTACAGTGATTTTAATACACTACAATACAAAAACACACCTCTTATCTCTAATCCTACTTGCCTCCAAAGTGAGATCACCCCTCTTTGAGCATGCTCTTTGAATTCTTTGTGGTATATACCTTTAAAAGCAAAGCAAGAGAGCTTTACACCAATAATAATAAAGGTATGTATGCCTACAGTCACTCAAGCTCCACCCTGAAGGTGAAAAATAGTATAAAATGGACCAACAAAGAGGGAATATTGTGGAAGACACTACTGTGGACCAGTCAAGGAAAATTCAATCAGAGATCACCCTTGACTCCTGGAACAGGTCAACGGGGTAGAGCTTCCCTTCCCCCCCCCCCACGGGACACCTTTGAGTAAGACTTGCACTGTACTAAGTGGCTCCCCAGGAAAATCAGGAATCTCTATGTAACAGAGATTACTTTCCACCTTTTACTTTTATATTTTAAAGCCAGGCTGTGTTATTCAGAACTTTGTTGTGCGTTTGTCTAACTTATTATTTGCACATGCTTTTGCACAGTGTATTTATCACTAGCAATCCATAAGAACCTGTATCTGTTGCTTTAACAAACGGCACTGTTTAAGTAGCTAATTGTAAGAGTTTTCTCATTGAACGCGACCAAATCCTTCAGTGTGGCCGTGTTGGTTCATGAGCACGATGAGACTGAAGGTGCAGTCCACTATTAGTGCACCCAGAATCGTGATTGTTCAGTATATCGAACGTGACCGGACTGAGAGCGGTAAATCGGGTATCACTCAGAATCTAAGCCTAGCGGCACCCAGCCCCGCTAACGTTTGAAAACCAGCTGGAACGCGAGGGGGTTATTTTCTGCCAAACTGTCTTGCCTTTTAACGCGACACCAGCCCGTACACACAACTCGCAGAATTAAGAAGACAATAACAAAACCCCAGGTCTTCTCTTCCATAAAACGCCGACCGCAAAACGTTTTGACACAAAACCCACGATTCAAGCCCTGGCGTCCCCACAGACCCGTTTCCGAGCGCCACGGCACCGGCACCCAGAGCCGGACCGGCTCCCCGCCCCTCCGCCACCGGAGCTCTCCCGCGGACACAGCGCAGACCAGGGCTGCGCAGCCCGAAGAGACCCCCCCGGCCGGGTCTCACCTGCGGAGCGGGCGGGCCCGGGGCTCGGCGTAGGGCGAGGAGGAGGCCAGGTGGGCGGTGGGAACCGGTTAAAATGGCGATGCCGGGGGCGTGGCTCGACCGATCAATCATGGCGGGCGGCCGGTACCTGTGTGTGGCCGCGGCCTCGCCCGTTAATTCCTGTTCTTTCAGCGGCGGCTCTGCGGAGGGGCGACGGTCTCCTGGCTGTGGCACCCGCGGCCCTCCCTGTCCAGCGCTAAGTGAATAAAACCTGGCCACAGCTGGCACAGGAGGCAGCGCTGGCCCCCGACAGGGTCTCCCTCAGGGCACCCAAGGAAGAGGATGGCTGTGTGAAATGGCGCTGTGGCACCCAGGCCTGTGCAGAGTCAGAGAGAACTCAACTCCTGAGGAGAGTCTGACATTTCATCCTCATTGTGTGAAGTGGGTTTGGTTTGGTTTCAGTAGGAAGCTGTGAGCCAGAGAGCCACGTCCGAGTCGCTGGTTTTTAAGGAATTAGAATGGACTTGCAGGTCTGGCTTTCTTCTTTCAGAGAAGGAAATGAGAAGGACAGCCCCATTAGTTTAACATCACTGTCAAGAGCAAGCAAACACCTCCTGATAGCTTCAAAAAACTTTGGGAAGAAGGTCGTGGGGAACCAGTTTAATCCTGGTCCTTATAATGAGATACCAGTCAAAGAAGATCTTTCCTTGAAGCGACTGCTTTTTTGATCATAGCATTTCTTTGTGAAACTTTATAGCTTTTTCACAAAAAAAGAGTAATGGAATACCTTTTTCTTCCTCAAAGTCCATGCTAATGTTTCCACAGAGAGCCCATCAGAGCATGATGAAATACATGAACTGAAAGTGCAGAGCCACTGATGGGTTCTGCAGTGTCCCAGCCCACCATCACCCTGTTCAACTTCCTTGCTTTTGCTCCCAAAAGGTACCTTGCTTTTGCCGAGGAAGGGAATGGGTTAAATCAATTATAAGATGTATTTGGCTTTCTCATTTTACCTTGGGATCTTCAAAGAAATCACAGCCAGTGTGGCTCTATCATGCACTGGATTACACCGATTGGAGTTCTGAGGTGCTGGAAATAAGGAAAACAATAATACTAAAACTGAGCTACAGGTGATTAAATAACAACAGTTAATAGAACAAGGACAAAAGAGAGATGATGATAGCAAAAGAAAGGTTAAAAAGCTATTGGGGAGTTCTGTAGCCAACAGAAACTACATACAGTTCATTATATGTGGTTTCACGTGATCTTATCTTGAAACTATAGATACAGAGTTATGTGTAAAAGTCCAAATTCCTTGTGGCAGGAGTTATGCCAAGGCTTGAGGAAGTAAGACATTCCAGTTAAAAGCTGAGATTCAGGCTGAAGAGCCTAAAGTTATAAAGGCATATGAAGCGGCCAGTTGCGAGTGTAACATGTGGAAGCGGCTGCCTGACAGCTCAGGGCAAAATGGGGTTGCACAAGTCCCCTTTGCCAGCTACCAGGGAAAAGTGGTTTTCGATGTACTGTGAGGTGATTTTATTTTTCCTCTGTTTCTTCTAGATTTTCAGGGAAAAAAAAATAACATATATTTTGTTGTAGAAACTATGACATCAGGAATTGCAGGTAGTGTAAGACTAGCAAGGAACCTTGTGTCATTAAATTGGGCTCACCTGGGCCTGAGCCCATCATACTTCCAAGGTCTGGTTTATTATGCTAAGTACTACCATATTATGTATGGTAATAAAACATTTTAGGCCACCGTCCAGTGTACACCCAGGCATGCTATGTCATTTTCTGTAGATCCTTTTTGCCATTTCTGACTTACAGGGAAGGGAGACATGGCGTGCCTTGCTGCCTGCTTTCCTTCACTTGGTAACAGCTGCCATGGAGCTCAGGCATATTTTCCCCAGTGCCAAGCCAATTTTAATTTCCTTTGAGCATTCCTCCTCAGCCAGTGACCTTCCTGTGAGTGTGTTTGCCAAGACTTGTCATGTGGGGTAATTTAACTGCGTGGTCACCATTGTATCCACTACCCTTTGTGGATCTCTGAAGATTTTCCAGCAGAATGTTTCCTCCTTCAGCCATGTATGTGAACTCTGACCTTTGTCTCATTTTTATTTGTACCTTGGTTTTCTGATACAAATACTGTTCAAATAAATAAAATGAAATTCATGCGTTACCCTGGCTGTCCCTATTTGATTTTGTACATAAGAATAACTTATCTGAGAGATGCATATAATTTCTCCATCAGCTGAAGGCATTTCTTTCAGAAGGATGAAGTATCACCTTTGAATCAGAAAACACAGCACTTTGGAGATGACAGTTCTTGGGTAAACATGTTAAAATTGAGAATCAGCTCAGAACCTATTTTCCTAAGCCCCACAAATAAATTCTTCCTCTTAGAGATTCTGTAAGAATCCTTATTAGACCATTTTGGCACTTGGCAATTGCCCCTGGGCATGGTGGTTATGTGCTTCACATGAGATTCACATTCAGCTTTTAAGGAGTTATTTCATTTTGCAATAAATAAGGTTATATAAGTGATGATGATAGAAGGACAGCAGAAAACACCTTGCAGCACTGGCCATCAAGCTCCAGGGGTTCAAGCACTCCAGACCCACAGGTCAGGCTTGTCATCAGAGCATGTGTTGGCCACCCTTCTGCCAAGCCCAGGGTATGTCTGTACACAACAAACCACAGTTAATTTAGTAGATTAATTAATATACTAACTGCTCTGTTTTGAGTCTTGTGCATGGAGAGGTAGGAGGGAAACCAGCACAACTGCCAAGACAGAGCAACACAGGGCAGTAGCAGCAGAGAGGGTGACATTATGCAAAGCATCACCTGAACACAGACTGGGCTTAGTGGAAGACAAATTTGATGGAAATTTTTTGTATCAAAAAGCTCACAACCTTCCTAGGAGACTGTGAGCAGTGAAAGACCAAAATGAGGGCAAAAACTCAAAAAAGCATTAGGCAAGTTGCACAGGGCAAAGAATTTGATAATAGAACTAGATGATCTTAAGGTCCTTTCCAACCCTAACTATTCTATGACTCTATGATGAAACCAGAACGCAAGACTAGGAAGGGCCAGGATATATCATTGGGGTGGGGGGCAGTGAGCAGCGAGCCAGAAATAATCAGGTTTCTCTATACAAACCCAAGCTGGGTCCCTTGTTCGAGGTCTGGTTTGGTTTTTTGCCCTTTAGACTTTGCAGATAGCTGACACTATGCTCTAACTGTAACAAACCCAAATCATTCCTCCTAATAGCGCTGGTATTCAGATTTATACTGTGTAGCGAGTTGGAGTCAAAGGAGCTGTGCAACAGGCACCCTGCGGCACGCCAGCCACCGTGATTCAGTGCACGCGCAGCACCAAGAAAAACCCAGCAGGCGCAGAAGAGTTCCCCGAGTTATTTCCTATTCTCTGCCTAGCAATGAAGACGCAGTTACACCAGGTGGTAACTCTTAGCAGATGGTGACTTTAAAAAGTCAATCGCTGTATTGATACTTTCTGAGTTTGCTCCTTTTAATTCAGATTCTCAGTAGCATGTTCAAATGTCAGAGAACATTGTATTGCTATCTTTTATCTCCTTTGTGAGCAGAAATCTTCTTGAAGAGGTATAGGAATTACAAGCTTGGGAGGAAAGATTGGGCTTTCCCAACATCTACTTTATAAATGCAACAGAATACAATAAAAAACAGTAGATGCAAAAAGCCCCACTGGCTTTGTTCTCACTGGACAGTTTTAATTTCTATAGCATTTTTTAAAGATACATTCTGCCTGCAATATAGCAGTTACTGGATTGGGGAGCTCCAGCAGCAGCACAAAGGCAGGATTTTGTCTGCTGCAAGCACATGGAAGTTGGTGGACTGGAGTGGGAGATCTCTAATTAATCAGCTACTACTGTAGGCAAGTAAAAATAACAGGACAGCTGAATTAGTTCATTACTCACCCTCCACTGCCTTGCCGTCCCAAGGTGGGGTGCCAGACCCCCACAGAGGGCAGGGTTTTGGGGCTTCACACCACTCAGACTGGCAGCCACAGGCTTTAAGGCTGCACTTTAGCATAAACTAGATTCAGGCAGACCAGAGTCAATACCTTTGACTCAGACTGCAAGTCCAAAGCCTGTGCAACAGCTCCTGAAGGCATGAGAGCTGTTACATTGCTCTAAGCTACTACCACGTATGGCCACTGGGTTTACCTGCTTAGTCACACTTCTTTACTCATCTGAAGAAGTTGGCAATTCATATTGCTATACCTGTACCTAGAAGCTACACCCAGAAGGCTTTTCTGGTTTTCTGGAAGATGTGTGTACATGCTGTCTTTCTAATAGTGTTCTAGGTGGAAACCATATCCCCACCTAACCTCTGCAGCAAGGGAGGATGTCCAAATCAGCATGTGCTGCTTACACAAAAATCACAAGGATGCAGTGCTCTCCATCCAGAGAGGAACCCCTGTGAGAACAATGGGTTAGGCTCCAAGGGTTCACTCCACAGCATCCAGCAAATCAAGAGACATCTATCAATAACTACAGGATATGTTACTGCAGCACCAGATGCCAGCAGCCCCCTGCACAACCCTGTCAAATACACCAGACCTGGCCTGCACAAGCTTTTCATGGAGGGGGCAAAAAAGAAGAAAATGAACCCCTGCAAAGTCCCCTCTGTGGGGCCAGAGAGCAGCTAAGGCCCCAAGCAGGGTCTGTCTCCTCCAAACCATATCCCCACCTCCATTTCACTGTGTTTCTCACTGCTATTCCTCACATGAGCAGCCCTTAATGGCTCACTCTTATTACAGCAAATAGCAGGAGGTTTTGGAGCATTCAGATGCTGCATCCCCATAGTCCTTGCCTGCTCTGGATAACCAATAAGCAAATCTGGCCAGCCTGGCATGCAGGATTACTGTGTGCTCCTTTGAATATTGCTTTTCAGTGTCACAGACAATATCAGAACTGCCAGATAAACTCACCCCACTGACCCAGCCACAAGGACCATCACTTCCTGCTAATACATGAGTATCCTGGACAAAATAGAGATGACAAACAGACAAATCACCTGTGTGACATGTACCCCTGCAAGCCTCT